GCAGAACCATCTCGGGTTCCATTTGATCTTACAAGGAACATCGACTGGCAGAAATATGCAACGGCGGTGACAATCGGTGTCGAATCAATAAATGCGCTTCCACCATTGGAAGAATATCGATTCCTAGCCGATTTGATTTACAAAAGCTCACTGGAAGCTCAAAAAAGAAAAGTTCCAAGTGCACCCTTTAAAAGGAGACCAGCCACACCTGGTTGGAATGCACAAAATTGTATGTAGAAAAATCTGATGCTTTCAAAGCTTTTCGTAGACACAAAACCTCCACTTACTTCGAGGAATATTCAAAGCTTGAGACAAAGCTGAAACAATTAATCAAAGCAAAAAAACGCGGTTATTGGCGCAATTTCGTCGAGGGACTCTCACGAGAAACCTCAATGAACACCTTGTGGAGGGTGGCTCGCAACATGCGTAACCGCTCATCTTTCAATGAGAGTGAAGAATACTCCAACCGATGGATATTCGATTTCGCTAAAAAGGTCTGTCCGGACTCAGTTCCAGCACAAAATATTCTTCGAGAAGCGTCTCCTAGCGGCGGCTCTCTGGATAGACCATTCTCAATGCTGGATTTCTCTATGGCTCTTCTTTCATCAAATAACTCCTCACCGGGAAGCGATATGATTAAATTCAATCTTCTGAAAAATCTCCCAGATATCGCTAAAAGACGCTTGCTAGATTTATTCAATTCCTTGCTAGAAAACAACATTGTACCGCCTGAATGGAGACAGGTCAAAGTAATAGCCATTAAAAAACCTGGCAAATCAGCGTCTGACCATAACTCATACCGTCCGATTGCTATGCTTTCGTGCATTAGGAAATTGTTGGAGAAAATGATCCTTCGGAGACTCGATCAGTGGGTCGAAACAAATAACTTGCTATCAAATACACAGTTTGGGTTCCGCAAGAGCAAAGGAACAAACGATTGTCTAGCGCTGCTTTCCACAGATATTCAACTGGCCTTTGCGCACAAGGAGCAATTGGCTTCAGTATTCTTGGACATTAAGGGGGCTTTTGATTCAGTTTCCATTGAAATTCTGTCAGACAATCTGCACAGATGTGGACTTTCTGGAATTTTAAATAATTTCTTGTACAATTTGTTGTCAGAAAAGCAAATGAACTTTTCTCTTGGACAACTGACAACTTCCAGAATTAGTTACATGGGCCTGCCCCAAGGCTCATGTCTCAGCCCTCTTCTTTATAACTTTTATGTCAAAGATATCGACAACTGTTTGGCAGAACAATGCACGCTAAGACAACTTGCAGATGACGGTGTGGTTTCCGTAAGAGGTCCACATGCCGTGGACTTGCAAGGACCATTGCAAAATTCCTTAGATAACTTGTCTTCTTGGGCTATGAATCTAGGGATCGAATTCTCACCGCAGAAAACTGAACTGGTAGTGTTTACTCGAAAGCGGTACCCAGCCCAAATGCAGCTTAATCTTTTGGGCAGAAACATTACCCAATCATTGTCTTTCAAGTACCTTGGGGTCTGGTTTGATTCAAAGTGCACTTGGAATGCCCATATTACGTATTTGAAGCAAAAATTTCAGCAGAGGATCAACTTTCTCCGTTCAATTTGCGGCACATGGTGGGGTGCTCATCCGGGAGACCTCATAACGCTTTATAAAACAACTATTCTCTCTGTTCTAGAGTACGGCTCTTTCTGCTTTCTCTCGGCAAGAAAAAGTCACCTAATAAAATTGGAACGAATTCAATATCGTTGTCTGCGTATTGCTCTAGGCTGTATGCACTCAACGCATAACATGAATCTCGAGGTTCTGAGCTCTCTCTCAGAATACTAATCAAATGCGGAGTGACGAACACACTTATAATTGCTAATTTTGAAGAAATTCTTAGGCTGAACACACAATCTCGATTTATGAGAATCTACCACCACTACATATCATCAGATATGTGTCTTGCTTGTTATACTCCAGACCGTGTTCACTTCACCAATCGCAGTTCCTCAATTGAATATGATCTGACCATGAAACAAGCAACTCATGGGATTCCCGATCAACTTCGACCTATTATTATTCCGCGTATTTTTACTGAAAAGTACCAACAAGTCAATTGCATGAAAAGATATTTTACAGACGGGTCCCGTCTCAATGGATCCACTGGCTTCGGTGTCTTCAATGAAAACTCTAGCGCCTTCCGCAAACTTCAGGAACCTTGTTCCGTTTTTGTTGCTGAGCTGGCAGCAATCAACTTCGCATTGGGGATGATTTCCAACATGCCCGCAGACCATTACTTCATCTTCACGGATAGTCTCAGTTCGATTGAGGCTATTCGGTCGATGAAACAAGGTAGGCACTCATCTTATTTCCTTTCAAAGGCAAGGGAGCAGATGTGTGTGCTGGTCGAAAGATCATATATGATTACCTTTGTATGGGTCCCCTCACATTGCTCAATCCCAGGCAATGAGAAGGCGGACTCTCTCGCAAAGGTGGGCGCGCAGGAAGGCGAATTGTATGACAGGCAAATTTCACACGATGAATTTTACCATTTAGTGCGTCAGAGTACCTTTTCGAGTTGGCAAACCGATTGGGACACTGGAAATCTTGGACGGTGGTTACATTCAATTATTCCTAATGTTTCTTCGAGAGCGTGGTTTAAAGGCTTGGGCTTAAGTCGTGACTTCATTCGCGTGATGAGTAGACTTATGTCCAACCACTACTCGCTAGATGCTCATCTCAATAGAATAAACCTCGTGGACAGCAACATCTGTCGGTGTGGAAACGGTTACGATGACATCGAACACGCAGTTTGGCAATGTACGGATAATGACGCCGCCAGAGAGCGACTTTTGAATACCCTCGAGGCCCAAGGAAGACAACCCTATGTTCCTATCAGAGACGTGTTGGCAACCCGTGATCTCTGCTATATGCAGTCCGTTTATGTTTTTCTTCAAATGTCTAGTATAAGAATTTAATTCCTTTTGTATTTTGTCTCTCTTTATTAGTTTTTGTTTGTCTTGTCCCCCCGTCTCGATGAGTCTCATCGTCGCCCAATGGTCACCATAGCCGGTCGAACTCCGGACGAAGCTAGAACAGCACTACCGTTCATACTGGCGACAACGCTCTGATGAGACAACAAAACCCTACCCCAAGCTCCTCCCCTGATCCTATCCTTCGAAAATGTACCCTTCTAACCTCGAATAAGCCGCGAGTAATCGGCCCAACTCCTACTAGACATAGAATTAAGTGAATTTTGTTACACACAGTGAACAATGAATTATCGGCTCCGTAAAGCTAACGCGATTGAGCCTTCCAAATAAACGAACTAGATAAAAAAAAAAAAAAAACGACTTCAGTGTACAGTAAACCTATTATTTATTTTTGTAATAAACAAGTATGCAAAGTTCACTAAGTGGACGAAGCCGTCAAAGAGTTTATGTTTCATGAAATGTTACTGTTCATTAACAACTATAGCTTTAATTTTGTCCGATATATTTTTTTACTATTGTCATAAATTTGTCGTAACTGTGCTTTACTTAAATAACTGAATGTGGCCTTGTTCATTATTTTGGTGTATGGCCAATTAGGAGAGCACTAGTGCCATAACGGTATTTTTTTTATCAGTAATTTCTAATTAAAAATTAAAAAAAAAACGTGATAAAAACTTTAGGTACTCAAAAAGTCCTTGTTTTATAAAATAACACGCTTTTAACACCGTATTTCCCCAACACCAAAACTAGTACTAGTAGTAATCCGGTACCTCTGGTGGCAAATCATACACTCGCACATATTGAATTTTGCCACCCCCAGACGACATATGTCATATATGAGACTCCTCCGATTTAAACTTAATTAATAGGGCATTTTGTAAGCAGCTCGACTTACTAACGAGGTGGCTTAGACACATTTCTACCTAATTAACTGTCAAAAGTTGTGATTTAATGACCCATTTGCCCCATATGACCAATCGTCATTTTACCCTACTTTCCACCAAGCGACATATGTACCTTCACTGTCGTTCTATCTGCATCTACGTGATCTACACCGAGAGAATTCCTGTTGCTGCCTGTTGTATCGGCAACAGTTGAAAATACATTATCAAAAGTGATTGTCTTGCCGTTTTTGTAAATTTTTAAGTGTCCAAAGTTTTAAATATTCAAAAGTGTGCATTATAATAAACTTTACTATAATAATATTAAAAATATATTGAACAAGGACGTATGAGTTTTTTTAAGTTTTTATCACTTATTTAATTTTAAGCCGAAATAACTGATAAGAAATTACTATCAATTTTTCCTAGAAAGACTTTATTTTTCCAAACAACTTTGCCTCATGATTAGAAATGACGTTTTCACAGCACAATTATTTAAAAAATTTCGAATATATCACTTTTTAGATTTGAAAGTTTTCTACAGTGAAGGATTGAAATTTTTTATGTTTGTTTATTTTTATTATAGAAAAATCGAAAACAAATACAGCCGTTTTCAAATGGTAGTCTAGATTTATCCGATAGAGCTTTTTGACGTTTAATCGGCGCACACTACTGCACCATTTAAATCGAACGAGTGCGAGCAAGAGGGAAACAGATTAGTGGGAAAACCAACCGTCAATTCATTGATGTGCGCTAGATAGAGAAAGACGATTAAACGTCGAAAAGGTCTATAGGATGAAGTATACAAAGTTACAAAGAAGGTTTTACATCCACAACATTTAATAGGAATCTACGGGTGGGTGGATTGCTGAAATCGATCGTGCCAGTATCTTAGGGGCTGTTCATAAACTACGTAGACATTTTAGGGGGGGTTGATAATTATCCACGGCCCATACAAATTTAAAAAATTTTGTATGGACAATTGTCTACGCAGGGGGAGGGGGGGGGGCAAGAATCCCAAAAAAAAAGTCAACGTTGTTAATGAACAGCCCCTTACTGAGATTGTTTGCTGAATCAAAAAATAAGTGTTTAAAATATACGATAAAAAAAGTTGGTGGTTTGCAAGTTATGGTTTTCATATTATTATTACTTACATTTACCGGTTGGGTAGACACTACTGGTTCATTAATGTTGACCGTGGGTTTGCTCTCATTGACAGCTATTACTGTTTGTTGGGTTTGGTCGCGTGCAGTTGTTGTAATTGGTGCCTGTGCAGCCTGGGGTGGTGGATAAGCGGTGTAGAATCCCATTGGTTCGGTTTTTATTTGTTCGAACATACTAATTGTAGCTAAAATCTCAGTGGTAGGGGGTACAGGCAATCGCCCGACCCCCCAATGACTAGGAAAACTAATCTTGAATTGTTGATCTCTTATAACGTTCCCATAATGTAGTTGAAGATGATGTTATCCAAGCTGAAATTAGTCAAAACAATATCGAACATTAATCATATGGAAAAATCAAATCTCATGCATGAGATTATTCGCCCACGAGTTTTGCGTTGAGAATTTCAATTACGCAATAATCACCGAGGAGATTGCCGATTAAAAAAATCGTTGCTTTATATTTTGGCATTTCTTTGGTTTTACGTGCTTATTTTTGCATATTTGTTGGAAAATAAATGTCTATCTATGTATATAAAAATCAATTTCTGTCTGACCGTTATAGACTCGGAAACTACTGAACCGATCAGTGTGAAAATTTGTATGCAGGGGTTTTCGAGGCAGGGAAAGGTTCTTATGATGGTTCGAGACCCCTCCCCCTCTGTAACGGGGGGCTTCCATACAAATGAAACAGAAATTTCTGCATAACTCGAAAACTAATCAAGCAAAAGATCTAAATTTGGCATGTGGAGGTCATAGGGGGTAGCCCCTTAGATAAGAGGGGGCCCTAGTAACACCCTTGTTATAAATTGGTCTCGAAAACTTATATATGACTTATTTCAGTTATAAACAAGTTACCGCAACTTTTTGGGACAGAATTGTGCAACTTGGTGTCTACGTACAATATAGTATGCTTGACTAACCTGTTGGTCCCAAGCAAATCGATTGACGTACCCCATTCTACTCGAAATTCTAGTACTACACTATGTTTGTTTTGATTCGCTATGAAAGTTTGACCGATAAAATGAGGGGTTCGTGGATTTTTCTATGTTTTGAGGGGTGCATCGATTAGCTTGGAACCGAAGAGAGTACCAGAGCTGAGCCAAAAAGTTAAGCACGTTTCTTCGGGACCTTCTGGTCTTAGAGTTACCTCTATGGTGGTACTGTTTACAAGCACTTAGTCGTTTTTTCGATAAAAAAATATTTTAGAATTTCCAAATTTTATCTTGAAAATTTTCGAGGAACAGCGTAGCGAAAGGATGTTTCTTGTGGATAATGCAGAAGTGTGAAATTTTTAAATCTATCATTTTCATACACGAAACGAAAATCAATTATTTTATTCATGTGTTTCACTTATACATTTTTGCCAAAACATCAGTCTTATACATTCCATAAGACAAACCACATAGGTCCTATAAGAATGCATAAAAGGTATGTGTGACCGCTTATACATTTCATTTGACACATGAGCTTCATTAACTCTTTGCAAGTCGTCTGCTTATTAGTTGACTTATACATGTTATGAATAATCAGCAATAGAAATTTGCCAAAAGGTATAAGGAGATTTCTATCCGTGTAGTTCTTCTATTCTCTATGGGGGCTAACTTTGATTCGCCAATACAATGAGGCAAATAAACTTATAAATGTCATAAGCATAATTTTATACTTACATCTTGCCACTATCTTTCAAAAATACGGAACAAAGGATGTCGTGATGCCACCATGATTTGCAACGCTCTGAGTGTACCTACGTACCACTCATTTTTTAGATGTGGAAATCACATAAGCTTTACGTGAAACGCACATAATCTCAGTGTTATGTGAAAATCACATACATTTCATTGTGTTAAAAAGGAACTCCCTGTGAAATTCAAGGTAAATCACATACATTCTACGTGAGCCACATAAAGTTGAGAGGAGAGGAAAAAGTGTTATTTTGATATAAGAATTTTTTAAGCAAATATTGTTCTCAAGTAAATAATTCCAAGAAAAAAATGCTTTATCTCGGTTGATTATAGACCGATTTTAATTCTTGGCATATCATTCGCTTGGGAAATGGTTCTTCTTTCTGTGTATTTAGTATAAATGTCGATTTTTATCATATCATCTCATTTTAGCAAGTTAGACAAGCCCTACGGAAACCCAGAATATCTCCGGTGTCCGGTGACAAAGGTTATTTTCGTGGCTACACAGTCGAATGCTTTTGAAAAAAATAAAATTGGACCATTTTACGAAGTTAAAAACATCACAGTTGACCGAAAATTTGAATATCCTAGTTATTTTGAGTATCCCCTGTATTTGCTTACCAAAGCAATTATGCAATTAAAAATCTGACAATTTTCCTCGTTGGCTCATGCCGTGACAGAATAGCGTCATGAGCATGCGATGAGGATTACTGAGCTTCCCCTCTCTGATGAACCATTGCATAAGAGAACCAAAGTTCTAGCCTGAAGTGATAGTATCACACTTGTTACTCCTTTTTTTTGAAAGCCGCGTTGTAGTACGCTTACGTATAGGCACTGACGTTGGGTGCGATACTGGCGGGTTTTGCCGCAAATCACTCTTATTTTATTTATTTTTACGCAGATAGATTTATTTGGGTTTACAAGGGAATTAAACTATTGAAATATTTCAGAAAGTGCCCAACAGTGCTCTGTGACTATTGCATGACCAGGCACTCCCGGGTAACTAGCTCAGTAGCATGAGACCCCTGAACTGTGTCGCAGGGCCGGCATGCTACTGGGTATTCCGAGGGGCTCCGCGGACAAAGTATGAAACACAGAAATATTCACATTGTATTATATATTCACTACACTTAACACTTAACTGGTCTACACGGTCGCCTGGTTACTTCTGCCTAATCTTCCAAATCTAAGATGGCTAGCTATTCATCATCCAATTTGCGCATCCATTGTTATTTTAAAGCCAAGATATTCCTCCCTTCAGTAACGTTACGTTGTTGTTTGCAGCGGCACAAACCCTTTCGCTCTTGTGTGTGTCTACTGTTTTAGGTTTAACAAAACGTGAATTTTCCAAACAACAACAACTCATACAAACGAAAATCCACGGATTGTAACCAACTGGTTACAGCTCCTTCTATTTGCGTGACAAGCTTTCGTATTGAGGTATTACTCAGGGAACAATGTTAAACGCCATTTTTGTACATGGTATTGCAATTAATCTTATATGTGCTTCATTTTGATTTGGGATAAGTGTTTGAACTATGGCTCGGGATTTCCACTGTGGCGTGCTTCTATTGTGACATAACCATACGTATTTTTGTGGTGCGACATAGTGGAAACGTGTGAGCGTAGTTGAAGCATGTACCCTATGTAATTTAAAAATCAGCTAGGAAACTAACTTCAAAGTGAAGCATTTTAGTCACTTGAAGGTGTCACCTGGGACGAACTAATATATATTAAATATAGGTCAAAGTCAAAAACAACTTGAAACACGTTAAATTTTAGATTACATTCACAAGTGCAGGTACTTAATAAAGTATGGTAGGTAGATTAGAGATTTCAATTATTTATTAAATTAGACTAGAGATATCATAATCATCAAACGAACTTAAATAAGAAAATTTAGACAGCCTAGTAGCATTAAGTGGATTAACAGAAGAGTTAGGATGCGGAGGGTCCGCTTAGGGAGGCAACTAGCCTTTAAAGCAACTGGCAACTAGCCTTTTCATGTATTGTCTGTTTATTTTGATTATTGTTTTAAAATATCAATTTGGTATATATGTGAAAAGATGAATCAGTGGGAGATGGATTTTCGGTTTCTTTACATTTAGCATCACTATGTGTCATTTCCTCAAAATCCCCCAATAACCGGCCTCTTCAATCCCTTCGTTTTCCCATGGCGTTCAAGTGGTCCGCATAGACTATTCAGCCATTACCCGTCCTTTATCCTCGGCTTTGGATTGACTTGCGCTCCAATTGCCCCACCAAATGCTGCAAAATGAAAAATGAAAGATCAACTAATAAATTTTATTGCAGCCTCGTATGAAATGTAGAAGCGTTTTGAATGTAAATCGTTACTGAGTCGTGTGATTTGCATAAGCATTCTATGGAAACCATACGAGTTGTATATAATAATTTCCAGAGCTCAAAATGACCGTTCATACGAAACATATTATGAAAATCGTAGTTAAAGTTTCTTCAGTGTAGGTGAGAACTCGGAAGATATATGCAATTTGTTTGCAAATTTCTTCCAAGAAATCTATACTACATTTATACAGAATTTTCATGTGAAAGCAGCGTAAGTCAAGTCAACGTTCAAGATATCTTAAAGGGTTTAAAAAATTTAGATGCATCTAAAGGTCCTGGCCCTGTTTTTATGAAAACTTTAGCAACTGAACTTACTGCTCCATTATTTTGAATTTTCAATATGTCATTGGTGGGAATGACACTAATTGTTTTCCTTGATTTGTTTTCCGTCGGTCTTGTTTTCCGTGCTGAGCACCAATGCTACCGACGCCAGGGAGGCAGCTCCCACACCTGGACCCTTCATATCGACCCATCAACTCATGAAACGGGAACCAACGGCTTTACTTCCCTTCCGAATGAAGGCGTGATCAGAGTTATTATGCCTCAGAATATCCCGGCGGCGTCGACTGGTATTGAACCCAGGCCTGCTGGGGTGAGTGGTAATCACGCTTACCACTACATCACCGGCGCCGCTGGAATGACACTGATGAAGACTGTACATTGTAGTCGAAAAACGTATCTGTCATGGATACCAAAATTAATTAAGTGGAATTAAATTGAAGATAATCTTTTCTTGCTGTTTTATTTAAGCATTCCGCTAACAACCCAATTTCATTACTTCATAATGATGGCTACCAAGCCTTTGGAAACTTTTCCTTATAAGAGATTTGAATAGAGTTTGCTCCTTTACTTTACTTAAATCTTTGGTTATTATTAGTTAGGTAGCTAGCGATTTGCATTTGTATGATTTTTTTTTTATTCATTTTATTTATTTGTTAGGCTCAACTGTCGAAATCAACTCTACGGAGCCAATAGTCTAGGGAATAAGTTTACAGTTCATTAGAATTAAAAGTTATTCGGATTCAGAGCCGGAGCGTGGAGAGTTGGGGCGTAAAGTTTTTCTCGGTGGTGAATTTTCACTGGCGTGCTTCTGTAGTTTTTGTTGTTCTTTGATCAGTTTGGTGTGTATTTTCACGTGCTCTGTCCAATTTCCAACTGTTTGTTTATGTCGCTGCTGGTAGTGTAGGACCGTCTGTTTCTGCTGATTATTCTGCTGCCCTCCGTTATCCACTTCTAAGTCCATGGTCGTAGTTGGAGCTACAA